CAGTCTTCTCTATCCAAAATCCAAAATACTTTTCAAGCTTGGCTAAAGTTTTTAAACATATATGTTTGTTTTTTTGGTAATACTTTTAGAAAGGAGGGTACAATTTCTATTTCATCATTCTGATTCATTTGAATGTAATTCACAGTATGATGAGTCAGATTTGTATTCATATAAAATTCTGTACATAGGCGTAGCCAAGGAGTGACAAGAAGACCCCCCCCCCCCCGGATTGTCTGTTCTCTTAAATATCATTTAATAAATATTCCCTCCTACACCACCACTACCCTCTCTCTTCAAATTATATTTAATATATAACATTATAAACAAGAAAGCGAAAGAAAAATAATAAAAGTTTAATTTTTTTGAATAACGACTATTATTCAAAATTTTTTTAAAAAAAAGAAAAATTATTTTTATAAAAATATAACCTAGCCAGAGTCCTATAAAGATGGACCTACCAATAAAATTTATAGGGCCAAAACCCACATAATAGTGCTTTCCCCCTAGCAAAATCCAGGCTTCGGCTATGTTTCTGAATCTGTCTGATTCAGTTGTCAATATTAACTATATAAAAAAGGCTCGCATACAGAATTAGATATTTAATCAAAATTTTAAATTAATATGTTTAATTTATTATAATATAACTTATTAATAATAAAATTAATTATTTGAATATTTTTTAATAATATATATGAATATTTAAAAAGTAACTAGTTACATTTAGCAGTTATAGTTATAATTTTTCAAATATAACTAGTTACACTTATTTTTTTGTAAAATTATAACTAGTTAGTAACTACTTTAACAACACTAATTATTTTAGAATTAACTAATTTTTATATGAAAAATATTAAATTGTATACTAGTAATCATTTATTATTAGATAATAAAAACTAGATTTATTTTGTATTTCATTGTTTCAATTTGACATAATTAATTGTTAATAACTGAAGCTGTTGATTGTTTTACTATGAATTAAATGGTCTTGCTAACCATAATTTATTTTTTATTATTTTATTGGAAAACATAATTTTATTAAACTGGTCAGATATAGCTTGGAATTTAACCATGATTGATAGATAAGAAATTAGTTGAAGATATAAAATTAGCCACGTTCCATTGCTACTTCGGTTTCATTGTACGTTAAATTTGAAACATATTTAGGGAAGATAGGATAAGAAATGTGTCAGGAAATTATTATAATAATGTTAATTTTCAGGATGGTAGGTTATAAAAATAACCATATAATAATTAAATAATCATATCTAATTTAGATATAATTAATCTTTTTTTTTAATTTTGTAACAACCAAACATTTAAAAATGATTAGATAGCTTATTTGATTGCAATATTTTGTTATAAACAATTGATTTATCTTCAGAAAAAGGCTTAATTAAACACTATTTATCATATTATAATTAAAAAACTAGCCACTATCAAAAAAAGAGAGAGGGGGAGTTTTAAAAATGTTAATTTTTAGGTCATACTAAACCACAAACCTAATAATCACGATTATTTTAAATTAAGGGTATTAACGAATATTTTAATTTGGCTAATGCATCAGGGTATCCAATTGAGAAATAACGGTATTTGTTTTTGAAAATGAATGATTTTTTTCGACTCATTGTTATCGACTAGGCAAATTATTTTTAAACAGCTTACACATATCATCGAATTCCCTATTGACAGACGGCATTTTATTTGACATGGTATAAAATTAGCTAATTACTTATCAATATATATTTTTTCAATAATTTCCTTACCTGATCTCCTTAAACATTAACTTTTTTACTTACAAATATTATACTAAGGTAAAAAAAATTATTATGTATATTTCCAATTTAAATCTGTAACTTCTCTAATTGAAATATTAGTATCTGGTTTAAAGCGTGATTTAAATCAAAAAAATTGCGAATTAAAATAAAAAAATCACAAATTTTGCCAACTCTACTATAAATATTAGAGACCTGCAGAGGCACCATTTGCACGGCCAGGCCCAGTTTTAAATTTTTTAGGCCCGGCCCGGCCCGGATATTTTTTTAAAAAAAATTTCAGGCCCGGCTCAGAATTTTTTAAAATTATATTCGACCTGGTATATACAAAAATTCACCTATGAGGTATTTTACCATATTTTTCAGCGAGTATTATCGCTTATTATTTAAAATATACATGTAAAAAGCTAATATTTTGTGAATATTATATTGAATTTATAAAAATTATAAAATTGTTATTTATAAAAATGGATATTTTGAGCATATACTATATTTATATTGCATTTATAAAAATAAAACTAATATTCATAAAAATGGTAATAATATTTTGAGCATATACTATATTTTATATTGCATTTAAAAAAAATAAAACTAATATTTAATTTATAAAAATGGAAAATATTTTGAGAATATAATATATTGTATTTAATTTACTATTTAATTTATAAAATAAAAATAAATCGCTATTTAAAAAAATGCATGTATAATAAATAGTATTTTGAAAATATAATCTAATTGCACAATATTAATATAATTTATTTTATAATATAAATTTTTAACAAAAGAAGATAATTGTATTATATAATATTCTAAAAAAAATAATGAAAAATGTTGGATTAAAAACTTTCATGACTCAAGGTAAAATGTAATAAATGCAATAAATATTTGACAGCTTGCAAAGTAAAAAACCAGCATGATTGACGAAACCCTATACTCAAGAAAGATATTAAAAATTCACAAATTATCATGAAGATAGAGAATCATATCTACCTTTTTAGGTTGAAGATTACTTCTTCTTTCTTCAAGAATTCTCCCAGTAGTGAAAAAATTCCGCTCACAGCTTGCACTTGAAGCAGGAATTGCCAATACCCGTTTTGCCAATTTTTCTTAAATTGGCCCACTCTAACAAATTATCCACCTTAAATATTTCATCTATTTTTTTATTTATGTAATTATAATATTCATCATCGGGTATTGACATATTACCAGAATTACCATCGCTCCATTTGTCATAAAACAATTCAGTTTGTTTAACAACAGTCGTAATTTGACTGATCGATGGTATTTCATTTACTTCCTGAGCCTCTTGTAATTTAATATAATCTTTTGTATAGTTTTCCATCATCTTGCGATCTGTCCCTGACAACATTAATTGCTTGAATTTGGGACAGAGAAAAAGAGTGATACTTGTGTAAAACAAATTTTTCAATTAAAAAATGCTTTATATTAAGTAAAATCAATTTTATTTCTCCTTTTTCGCTTTGTAAGGTATTACAAACTACAAGAAGTTTATAATACCAAATTACCACTTTAAAAAGAGTACAAGAGTCCGACTGTAACTCAATAATAGCTCTGTTAAAATTCTCAAGAATTTTGACTAGTAATGAAGGATCGGAAAGTCTATAATATAATACTTTTCCGATCCCCCATGATCTTGAAGAACTTTTATAATTTCTTCATTTTGAGAATAAACAGAATTCAGAATATTGTATTTAGAGTTCCAGCGGACTTCTATATCTTGATAAAGGGCTTTATTTATTACTTTGTTTTAAATGCCCCACGAATATTTTAGTATTATCTATTGTTGATTTTATTAATGGGGCATTACTTTCCAAATATTTGAAGTTAAATGAATTTCTTAAAATTGTATTTAATATATGACAAGAACAATTTAATCGTTCATTTAACTCCAATGCTTATATAATATTTTTACCTTGGTCTGTAACAAATATTATATTAATAAAATCATTAGTATTAAAATTGTAAAAATTTTTTAATAGTTCATCCTTAACTACTTTGCTGGTCTTTGACACTTCTTTAAATTTAGCAGTAAATAGGTTTCTCTTCACTAACTTCCAGTCATCTGATATATAGTGCACGTTAACCGTTATAAACGAGTTCTTTTTAGGTCATCGCACCATATATCAGTGGAAGCAGCCATAAATCGATTCTTGATTACTGGGGCAATAGTATCAACCAAAATGTTTCTTATTTTATTACATTTTTCTTTAAGGGCGTGATAGAATGGTGTGATGTGAAATCAATGAGTTGATATCTATTTTACCATACTATGCCCCAACATCGACTAGAGCCTGGCTGAATTCAAGAAACCCATTCCCAGCTATCATTTCCAAAGGTCTAATATCTTTTGCACAAAGTGTTAAGGAATGATCTATAAATTTTTCTTTTAAATATTTTATATTACATTTATAGGTTGTTTTTCAGGTGTAAAAATAATTATTAATTTTCATGGATTTACCATCACATTTATCTCTTTTTAAATGTGATGTACCATGTTTATAATTATAAGATAATATAATTGAACAATTCTTACAACGTAGCCAATGTTTTTTTTATTTTCATCTATGATGATGTTAAATTTAGCCCATATTTCAGATTTTAAATTATTATTTGTATTTCTAAAAGAATAAATATTATTTATAATTTTATTAATTATATCATTAGTATTTTGTGCCATGATATTCCTTTATTTGATTGTTTTGGTAACTATTCTAAAAATTTAGATATGAATTATAAAAAAATATATTAATAATACTTGAATATTGGGGCTTATTTAAGATATTCCTTTATTTGATTGTTTTGGTAAAATATGTTGTAAAAATTTAGATATTAATTATAAAAAAATATATTAATACTTTGAATAAATTTGCAGGAAATTAATAATTAGATCGATCTGTGGGTGGTAGTGTTAACCATCACCCAATATTATATTAATCATAACTATAATATAATATAATCTTATAACCATTAACTCATAATGTAAAAATTTTTATAAAAAATATTAAGGCCCGGCCCGGATATATTTTTAAAAAAAATTTTAGGCCCGGGTTGGCCCGGATATGTTTAAAAAATTTTTTTTAGGCCCGGCCCGGGTATATTTAAAAGGGCCGGGCCAGGCTTAGTGCCGGACCTGCAGGTCTCTGATAAATATAAACACATTTCTATCTAACCAAATTTTGTAATCTTATTCAATTTCATTATAACTAGTGCTGTAAACGTTACTACAAAAAAGAAGCGCGTTACCGTTACTCGTTACATCTGAATAATGGAATGCGTTACCGTTACTCGTTACCATTTTACAAAAGGAACGCGCTTTACCGACTACTCAAAAAAACGTCTTTTTTTGCTTTTTACTGATGAAATAACTAGTTTTTAATTTAAAACTAAATATGATCAAATATTGAATCTAATATCAATAGCTAAGTTAATAATTGATGATTATGGCGAAAACATCAAAATTAATTTTTGATAAAATATGGGTCATCTTATGGTCAGTTTAAAACTTGAAATGAATATTTCGAAATGTATATGATCTCCGATTTTTAATTTTTTTAAGAAATATTATCCGTTTACTATTTTTTTAATAATTTCTTCAACAATTAGCATGGCTGGATATTTATTTAAAAAAATATTGCTATTTTTATACTTTAAAAAATAGATGGCACTATATATAATAGTTTTTATATGTTAAAATTCATTTTTTTTATTGATTAAAAATATTTTAATGTATATATATTAGAGAACTGCACGGGCTGTCCGTAGCCCGACCCGACCCGAAAATAAATAATAATATTAATATCTTAAATAAATAATAAACTAAATTACCATTTGATTTCAATCTCTTTGACTTAAAATTTTTCCATTTTATTAATATTTTTGAATAATGTTAATGTACTCACAAGGAAAGGAAATTTTAATAAAATTTATTTATAAAAAATAAGTTTTTTGTTGGAAAATTGATATTCAAATATTTGTAAAATTTTGATTGGAAGGGGGGAAGGGGGGGGGTAAAAATTTTATTAGCTTAAAATGATATTTATGAAAACAGTAAAATTTGCGAAGGGGGGGGGAAATTCCCCTCCAATTGGTTACGCGCCTGAGCCAACTAATCTTTTGACAGTTCCTCCGATACCGCACATGCATTTTTATTTTTAAGTTCAAAAGTTGGGGGGCTGTCGTGAAGTTGGCCCCTCATTTTGTTCTTTGAATATCTCAAAAAGGTGATGATACAAATCGAACTGAAAACGGTACAAATCGGGTACTAATCACACCAACTGATAAACCATTGAAAATCAAAAATTGTGGGGCCAACTTCACGGACCTATGGGCGGGGTTTCGGCCCGCCCGATGGGCGGGAGGATGGGCGGGTGAAAAATTTTTGAAAATGGGCAGGCGGGCGGGTTAAAAAATATTATTTTATTAAATTCAAAATTATTAGTAAGTTAGAATTAATAAGTATTTTTAATATTAATTATTAATAAATATCTATAATTTTTTAAATATTTTATTTTTACTTGGATTTTGTGGAACAGAAGAAATAGAAATACAAAAGTTAAATAAGGCTAAGCATGAAAAAAAGGATTGTGTTGTCAGAAGCGATATCATTATTGAATTCAATTGATCAATCAGAGTTTATCATTGCTGCTAATTGCATCAGTAAATTATTTTCCTATAGCTCACAACTTTGTAGAAATTTACAAAAATCAAATTTAGATTTGGTTCAGGTTATTGATTTGGCGGAAAATATATATGAACAGGTAGATACAATAAGAATGAATGTAGATGAATATTTTCATAATATTTATATAGACGTTGAATCGAAGGCTAAATTTTATGATATAACACTAATTAAACCTCGTCTAGCACCTGGGCAATTATTGAGATGTAAAATAAATATTGGCTCAACTGAAGAATATTATAAAATATCCACTTTCATCCCATTCTTAGATACTTTTTTATCGCAAATAAAAGTACGGTTTTTATATAAAAACAAGTCTTTAGCAATCTTCAAGTTTTAATACCCAAAGATCCATCTTCGTTTTCTAATGACAGATAAAATTAAATATTTAGCAAAATTTTATTCCTATGATATTGATACTGAAATAAATTTAATCAGTGAATTCGAATTGTGGTATAAATATTTACTACGTTTAGATATTTTACCTGAGCATGCTATTGAAGCGCTCAATCGGTGTAAAGAAATCTTGGCTCAAATTCCTAATATTTTGAAGTTGTTTTATATTCTACCATGTTTGCCTATTATAACATGTACGAATGAAAGGACTTTCCAACTTAAGAAGGTTGAAAACATATTTATGAAGTACTACTTCCGAATCTCGATTAAATGGGTTAGCTCTGTTAAATATCCATAGAGATTTGGTTCCAACGACAACAAAATTCTTGATGAATTGGCAACATTCCCACGAAAATTAAAAATCACATAATAATTATAGTATTTGATAAAAAAATTTGTATAATACTGTATTTGATAAGAAGTTTAAAAAACTTGTTTTTTAAAATATTTTCTAGTCAATATTTTATAGTTTTATTAAAGCCTCGTTTTGAGCCGAATTTTAAAAACGGCTAACTCAGTTATTTATCCAGAAAAATATTATGCAAGCCTGAAAATTTTGCTCATAGAAGGAGCAAAGGTCTAGACATATAGTATCGAAATTTCGAGGCTTAGTTAATATTTTTCTGGCGAAAATATTGAGTTAGCCGTTTAACAACATTAATATTTTATACACACTACTATTAGTATTTTCAATAAAAAAATTATATTATACTTATATTGTATGAGAATTTATGCTGAGGCTAGTTTTTAAAGCAAATTTTATTTAAAAAAAATGACATTAAACTTTATTTCAACTTAACATTTAAAAATTTTTATTAAATATAATATGTCTAACTAAAAATATTAAAAAATAGACTTGTAATATCCATTAGCACGAATTAGTAAATAATAGTTACAAATATAAATATAATAATTATTAAATTATTAATAATTTAATGATATAGCTAAAACATAAGACCCGGCCGAAGGCCAGATAAGGAGGTTTGGGCCCCCCCATAAGAAAATCCTGGATACGCCACTGCCAGAGCTAGTCTTCAAAGGCCAAATGAAATCAAATCCTAACCCCATTAGAATTATATAATTATGCTAAAGAAAATATTAATGGAATTCAATTTGAATATGTATCCAATCAAGAATATATCGAAGAGGAATTAGCCCTTCGTAAAAGATTTAATTCTGCACTGCCCATACATGGGGCCCAAAAAATTCACGGGGTTATTCCCATTGATCAAAATAGACTAAAAACCAAAATATATTATAATTCCCAAAAATATAATATAAAACAAGTTTCGTTTTAAAATGAGAAAATTATATTTAAAATATTAATTGATATATAACATGTGTATATGATGACAAATGGTGGTTAGGATATATAATCGATAAAAATGATATAAATGAAGAAGTAAAAATCCGATTTTTACACACTTGTGGACCTTCAGCCTCATTTAAATTTCCTCTGAAAGATGATATTTTAGTGTTGCCTAAATCTCATATTCTCTCGCTGGTCAATCCTTCTACTCCCACCAGTCAAACATATATATTATCTCCTGAAGAAATCTCACAAGCTAGCCAGGCTTTGTATTCCTTTAGATGAAGTAAGATTTAATTAATTTATAAACTATCTTAATTAGGCTAAATTTGTGAAGATTTTAAAAATTTATGATCTGAATTACAAATATTTAAAAATTTGAACAATGGGCGGGCGGGTTAAGGAAATTTAAAAAATTTGTTCAAAAACAAACTAAAAAAAAATATTTAATGAACTATAATAACAATATTTCTTTTTTTATTGTACCAATCGTTTTTTTTAGGTGGAGAATATTTACCTAACTATATTATGTAATAAACACAAAAATAAAATATTTTTCTTAGAATAAATAAACATTTGTCTATTAAAAATTTCCTTTTATGGGAATGTAATAAAACTTTTCTCTTAAAATTTCCTTTTTTTGGGTTTGCAATCTGCATTGTATTATTTTATTTTAGTAATAATTGTTTATCTTTATAATTGCCCTTTTCATTTTTATTTTATTATTTATAACATAATTTTTTAATTTAATTTTTATTTTAAAATTTTATTATGAATAAAGAAAATATATCTAAAAAAATAAAAAATAATTTATATAAATTAAGAGAAAATTCAGATAATAATAAACTAAAATCTTCAATGTGGAAACAATTTAAAATTATTTTCGATGAAAATGACAAAAAATTTTCTAAATTCAAACATGTTCTTCTTTGTTCTAAAAATCTTTCAGCAATGCTAAATCCGCGTTCCAAGAAACACTAGCTGCAGGAATTGCCAATATTTTTCTTGCTAATCTTGATAGCTTTGGCAAATCTCTTTCTTTTCGTTTCCACCAAAGTAGGATATCCGTTTGAATTATATCCTCTTCCTCAATTGAGATCTTCAAATAAAAGTGAAACCAATAATAATAAATTTAATAAAGTAATTTAAAATTTAAATTAATGATAAAATGCAACTTAAAATTTTGCTAAATTATACATATCAAAACTGGTCACTTTAAGAGTTAAATATTTTGTTATGTCATTAGGTACAATACTCTCCTCTGTAACAACCTCATCCTCCCATATGTTGGGGTTTAATTTTGAAGCGGATGCCATTTATTTCAAACATTGCATTTAATAGAGCTAAGCAATTTTATAATTTATTAATACCCTTTAATTTGATTCTCTTTGCATCTGGGGAAAGGGGTAAAATCAGATTTTCATCACGTCGATGTTATATTCTTCGATGCAAATCAAATCCAACATGTTTTCAATATGTTTTTTTACTTCATTATTTTCTTCCGACGTCAACATCCTCATTTGTCGGAACTTTGGTATTAAAAATGTTGAAATTTTAATTTAGACATAATTTTTAAATTAACATTATTTCATAACTATTCATTAAATTAAAATATGATATTAATGTTCAATTTTAGCCATATAAAGAGTGATAACTCCTAAACCCATGTTCATCCCTGTCTAAGATTTTGTACAAATATAAAGCAGTGTGATATCTATCTACAGAAAAGAAATTTTGAAAAAATACCTTTTTTTCTATGGCCATTTCCGGTTTTACACATCCGGTTATCGATATTAATAAAATGTCCATCATATTTATTTTTATGTCATTTTAAAGAACTTTTATTAAGCTAAAAAATTAAATTAAAATTATTTTTATAATATAATTATTTCTCGAGATATTTGAAAATAAATGAGGTGCATTTTGTCAAAAATGACCATTTTTCCGCGCTTTAAACGGCCATATCTTAGCGGGTAAACAGTGTTGGAAAGTAAAATTTCATTTTTTTTCTTAGTTAAGTATATACTACCAGTATACAAAATTTAAGAAAATTGAAGGGGGTCGGGTTGAAACCTTAGTTAATTTGATATGAAATTCACCATATTTTTTGGTAGCGTTCTATTACTTGAGATAGTCTTTGAATTAAATAAGCTTTTGTAATCAGTGATTATAGGATCAATACTTTTTTTGAAAATTTATAGTCTTTGAATTAAATAAGCTTTTGTAATCAGTGATTATAGGATCAATACTTTTTTTGAAAATTTATAATCAGATACAATTTTTAAAATCAATAGTATTAAACATAAAAAATTCCCATTATGTTATTTTGTCCGGGATTCAAACTGATATAAACGAACGGAACAGAATAGTGTCATAATATTCATTTTAATGTTATATATATTTTAACCTTAGTGGCGTATTAGAAATAACCCCCCCCCCTCTTCATGGTATTCAAGTCTAGATGAAAAGTGGATTATGAAAATAACCTTTCTCTTTCTAGGGAAAATTTGCTTTCATTTTTCTTTTCAAATTTAAATTGTAAAACCTCTTTCATAATTTTCATATATTTCTATAAAAATCTATCGTCACAAATCTATTCTTTTTATGCTATCTACTAAATTATAAAATATAAAAGCTACCAACCGATTTATCAATTCTCATTTAAAGATTGCCGTTTTGGAATTAAAAAAGAAATACTCTCAACGTTCAGAAAATACTAACATAATTTTTTAGAAATATTTTCGTTATTTTAGCGGCGGGATTATTTTTTGATGATTTTTAAAAAATTATTCTGGGAATTTTTTCCGGTTTTTTTTCCGGGGATTAATTTTCCCCCATATTTAATTTTAATCTAAAAAATGGGGAATTTATTTCCGGGGAATTATTTTCTATGGGAATTTTTTTCCTGGGAAATTTTTTCCACGGGAATATTTTTCCGGGTATTCCAAAGATTTTTTTCCTGGGATTTTTTTTCTGGGGAATTATTTTCCAGGGAATTATTTTCCCGGGGAATTTTTTTCCGGGGAATTATTTTCGGTGATTTTTTTTCCGGGAAATTATTTTCCGCTTACCAATATAAAAGTGTATCTTGATACTGATGCAACATTTTTAACTTTGTTCCAAATATATTGTTAGCCAAAAATTATGATTATTTAATTAAATTAATATTATTATGTAGTAAGGATACGTTTAACCTAATAGCCAATAATAATATATTATATTATTTTTTTTAAATTTTATAACTAGGAAGGATTTGAATGGATCTCAAGTCAACTGAAAGCCAAAAAATAAATATATTAACCATCCTCTAGTTAAGCTGTTACTAAAAAAAATGAATCGTTTACAAGGGTTAAGTGCAATACAACAATGTTATAAAAATTATTTATATTTATTTCTCATTTTTATAATAATCTAATTGCTATTTCAATAAACTAAATAACGACTTAATAGTCAATATATCCCGATATAAATAATATTTAAATACTTATACGCGTATATTATTTAAATAAAAAATGAGTTATAGATTTTCTAATTTTCTTTTTTTACTTTTACATAATAAGTACTTAAATATATTATATTGGTTGACTTAAATCAAGATTTCTTTAATAGAAAAAGTTTCATTTACTAAGTAACAATCCAACAACTTATTTAAACTTCGGATAAATACGTCTAGCAGTTTAATTGGGTGACCCCGGAGCAAGCTTTTCCGAAAATAAGGATGATGTAACTGATTTTTGTAGTGACCTCAGGGGGAAATCCCCTGGAAAACCTTATAACCCCCCCCCCCTTCCCACTAGATCACAAATTTTTTTATTTGTAGAAAAAGTATATCTTATCACGACTATGAACCTAATTCTTGATTTTATATAACCCAAATTTCAAATTTTCATGAAGGGTTGAGCTTTTCTTTTTACTATCTAATGAATTTGATTATTTTTCAATTTCCTCAATATAAATTTAAAGAGGCTTATCTAAGGTATCTGTACTATAGGTCAGCCCGTCGGATTTTCTAAAATATTTTTAACACTGGGCGGGTGGCGGTCGGGTTAAATTTTTTTTAAAGTAATGGGCGGGTGAATTTTTTATATTTTTCAGTCGAAATGAGCAGAACATTAATTTATTAAGAATAAATAAAGAGCCAAACCAGCCATTAAAATAAATAGAGCGAAACCAGTCATTAAAATAATCTTTAAACATTAGGCAAGTGTGTTAAACAAAATTTATAGATAAATGAGCCGGCGGGGGGTGGGGGGGGGGGTTAAAAATTTAAACTACGAGTGGGCCGGCTTTTTAGCTAAAAACTTCTTAAAAAATTTCCTCTTATCCTTAAGAGAAGGGGGGGGGGTGGCAATTTTAGGCGCAATGTTTTAGATCCTTAGCTATTATCTTATCATATATGGCAATCGCTAGAGATGCACCTGATATTAATTCCTCTTCAGATTCAGTGCATTATTATTTATAAAAAAATTTATTTTAGATAAAGCCTTGTCTTATCTTATTGATTTTGCAATTAATGATTATCCATCATTAACAATGTGCAAAGAAAAGATGGCGAGTAAATCAACAAACATCTGTTTATATCATCCTATTGATTGTCATGCCATTTACTAATTCATGATTTAATATATATTTACTTATAATCTAGAATTAAACTTATATTTTTCTTGATAGTTGTATATTCTAAGAATAATTAATATTTTTTTTGTTAATTGTTTTCTTGGGAATATTTATTGGAAGTTTTTTACAAATTTTTTTATTTATTTTCTATCTACCCAAAGGATCAGATATCTTCTATTATTGACACTACAATGCCCGTGCTACTCCAATCTATATTTCGAGATATATTTGATTGCCAATTTCCACTGCAAATTAGAAGCAGCATTGACTACCTTGGCTATCTGTGTGATTTCTCACAAAATCACCAGTCAATGAAAAGATCTTCATTTATTTAGTCACGGAAATATTATACTTTAGGGGAATCTTTTCCCATATTCTGACGGAAGATGGTTTGTAATAAGCGCACACCACTATAAAAAAAATACAAAAATAAATAAGAAAACTAAATCTATAGTCAATTATTGCGATAAGTTAGATTTTCCCAAATTTTCTTGAGATATACAAGCTTTGATAAATAGAGTTGAGTTTATATTTAAAGAGCTGAAAAAGTGCTCCTTTACACACCTCTTATCGGACGATGAATACACCTCATCGTCTTCATGCTAGGATATCTACTGGAAGCAACCCCTCCTCACCCTCAAAAATCAATATCTAACATGATTAATTGTACTTTTTAATTGCAATGGTACTCCATTCATATATTAAAAAAATATAAATTAAATTATTACTACCATATCAAAAATGAATATAAAAGAGTCAATATTTAGAACATGAATAATTAAAAATTATTTACAATGATTGAATTATTATAGTAAATTGTTTGCATGAATATCTTTTAAATTACAATTAAAAAGATAGCAAAGAATTATCCGGAAATAAGTTTTATTTGAAAAATAATTCATTGTATGCAATACATAAATTTGGTCGATATTAAGCAATATCATTGTTTTATAAATGATCTATATTAAAAGTATTAGATAATTTCTTACAACAATATATTTTGAATTTCATCTAAAAATTTAATAGATAATCTCCCAATAAATTTATCACACCTCTAGGCTACTCCCTGTTAAATGCCTACCCCTAACCCCCTAAAAAAAATTGGAAGCAAACTGCACCTACCTCCTTCCCCCGCTCATGTAGACGCAGAGTACACCAAACTACAAGCAGTATATATACCATCACAATCAGAGTTGGGCAGTACCGCGAATACTTGTATCTAAGATACAATATCCTTTTGTATCTTGTACTCAGTATCTTATTGACATTTTTAATAAGATACTAGTATCTGTATCTAAGATCCTTTATTTTGAAAAGAATCTTGTATCTATTTTATTTTCTTTAAAAAGATACAGATACAGATTCTTTTTAATATTCATGTTTAAAACATTTACATATCACACAATGTAACTAAATCTTGTAATATTTTCTTTATTTCTTCCCGCTATTATATTTTAAATATATTAATAACCAAAATTAGTTGGAAATTTTACAGGTCACAAAGATAGATAGATTAAAAATAACAACATCAAAACTAAATAAGAGAAGGATATATTTTATATGTAATATTTTTTAATTTGTAGAATGTACAATCATAGTAGTGAAGATAAAATTTGAAGATAGGTTCTCCTCAATCAAATCCGAATCTTAAAATTCTAGATGGGAAATTTTATAAATTCATGAGAAAAAGAACAAGGGACAAGCTGAATGTCAAAATTGCACAAGTAAAAAAGTTATTAAAGGTTCAACAAACTCCTTTACGAACTTTGTTAAACATATTAAAGTATATTATACATATTTTATAATTATTAACAAAATAATACCTATACTTAAGTCCCTTTTAGATGATAGTTATTAAATTTTTTTATAGAAGATGACTGATTATCAAATTAATATCATTTTGGATATATATTTTTTAGGGGTGTATTGATACCACTTTTTGGAGGCCGATCAGATATTCCCGATATTAAATTATATCGGCCGATTACCTATCCGATATATATAATTTTGTATTCTGTAAAGATACCAATGATTTTAATTTTTAATATACTTTTTATTAGTATAACATCTATAATTTAACTATACCATTCAGTTATAGTTTATATTCAATTCAATTGCAATTTTAATAGTATAAAATATTTTTATAAATGACTTTTAATAAACAATAATATTATGAAATTTGAAATAAATATTTAAAATAATATTTAACATTAATATATCGAAGATTTCTTTTTAGAAATACCAATATTTCCAATTTATCAGAGGTCAGCTTGCAGCGATAGCAACTGTCAAAATCACCAGCTTCACTAAAAACAAATTCTGAAGAGAATCTCGCGCACATTTATAAACAGAATGCGCAAAAAAATAACAATATGGCGAATGTTTATTAATTAATTATTATTGTTAAAAAATATAAATAAAAATGGATTTCGATTTTATTTATAAAAATATATAATTTTATATACAACCTTTTTTAAAAAATTTTATAACATTTTATTTTTGTTAAAGAAGCCATTTTATACCGGATCAAATTTTATAATATTGGATAATAACCGATGATTTAAAATAGGTGAAATCGGCTCGATCCGATCCAATAAAAAATATCGGAACATCCCTAATATATTTTATATATAATTATTTTAGCAAGTTCTTATTTGAGGAAATATTGAAGCTACAATTGATATATATCATTAGATAATTTTAAAAGGCTCTTAATAAAATAATTATAATAAGGTAGAATTTAACTTTATTAGTTACTTTTATTTATTTATGATATTAGTAAAATTACATTACAGTATTTATTTACAAAATTAAATCAATTTAAAATCCATTAAAGAAAATTGTTATGTATTTAATAATTATAATATAGAGTTATACATTATTTTCATATTTTTTATATATGTTAGCGGCAATGTAATTTCGGCAATGTGAGGTAGTGGTAGGCAGAGTAATTTTGTTATTTCGGCAAAGTATACATTGCCGAAATAACCAGGCAATGTATTATATTTTACAAATTAATAATATTATTTATTTGAGATTAATTTATTATTATTTAATATTTTAAATTTTTTTAAAATATATTTTAATTTGTTACAATATATTTTTTTGATTGATATTTTTTTTAATATATATTTTCTTTTAGTATATATATTTTTTTAATATATTTTGATCGCTAATTTTTTTTATTCTTTGTGTTATATGATTTTTTTAATAAATTTTTTAAATATATTTTTTTGATTGATATTTTTTAATATATATTTTTAAAATGATTTTTATATATTTATATTTTACGTAATTTTATCTATTATATATCTTTTGATAGATAATTTTTTAGGTAATAATGATTAATGTCATAATCGTTATTTTTGTACTTTTTTGTTTTTTTAAAGTAAATAGGTAAAAATATGTTTTGTAATCATGTTAAATAAATATTTCAGTGAAAGTGTAGAAAAGTGACAATTGTCATAATCGTTATAGTAAATATGTAAAAATATTTTTTTTAAACATGTTAAATTAATATTTCAGTGAAAGTGTACTATAAAGAAGTGACAATTGTCATAATCGTATTTTTGAACATTTTTGAGCTTTTTTAAAGTATATAGGTAAAAATATGTTTTGTAAACATGTTAAATTAATATTTCAGTGAAAGTGTACTATAAAAAAGTGACAATTGTCATAATCATCATTTTTGAACTTTTTTTAAAGTAAATAGGTAAAAATATGTTTTGTAAACTTTTAAATTAATATTTCAGTGAAAGTGTAATGTAGAGACAATTGTCATAATCGTTATTTTTGAACTTTTTTTAAAGTATATAGGTAAAAATATGTTTTGTAAACATTTTAAATTAATATTTCAGTTAAAATGTAGTATAGAAAAGTGACAATTGTCA